AAAGAAGTGGATTTAGAAGTGGTCCAAGGCCATGCTGAACTTCGCCTCCAGTACCTCAACCCCATTGTGAAGCATCATTCAGCTATTTCAGATGTCCATTCCACAAAGAAATTCATGAATTGCAAATACACTTGTACTGAAAGATTAAACCTCCTGTACACCAGAAGTCAGTGTTCTGGTAAAGAAGAAAAAAACTTCTGGACTACCAGGGGAATGTAGATACCTGCTGTTTTTCCACCTCATTATACTCTCTGCAGATTTGTGTTGCTAGTTTAAATGTGCCTACTGTTGGGTATGGAGCTGTTCATCTTTGCCAACTTTTGCAATCATTTCCTTTTTTTTTTTTTTTTTTAGCAAACCTTTCAATGGTACATTTTAAGTGTAAGTCGTCTGAAAGGACTTGGAAGGAAGTCTGAAAGGAAATGGAAGGATAAGAAGCAGTGAGGAATCATGTGAAAGATTACAGAAGAAAGAGCTAGAAAAGACTAGTACTGTAGAAAAAAGCTCTCTCAAGATGGTAAATAATAATCATCACAACGTCTTGGAGAGAACAAGCAAATGCTGAGTTTCAGGGTGTGTAGCACAGAAGGAGAAAAATGTCTGAGTGAACAGTGCACATAGGAAAGAGAACATCAGCAACAGAAGAATTTTTTAAAAAGGTGAACAAGGGACTGAACAGAAGAGATAAGCAGAGTAAGAAAGAACTTGATGGGAGGTGAAAGAGAAGGGACATCTTGGAAATTTTACACTTAGATAATTTATTCCAGTCATTTTCTGATCTGAATCTCTGGGTTGCCACACTATGATGCCTCGAAGAAAGACAGTGATCTTGAAATGGAAAAGAAAGAGAGAAATCAAATTATTTGCAGAGCACAGAAAAACCCAGGGCAGCTGTCTTGCAGCTTTGACAGCTATGCGGGCTTTATCTCAGACTATATTGCCTATAAGGGATGCTGTGCTTTAAAATACACAGAGTTCTGACAAGGGAGGCCACATGTTCCTTTATATACTGTGCATCGCTTACCAACTAGATGAAAACCTATCCTTCCTTGCCTTTGGGACCACAGTAGAGATTTTGTACTTCCATTTCAGGATGCACAGAGTACTGAACACGCAGGCTTAGCTGTCATATTATAAATATAAATGTAGTAACTCAAGTATCAAACAATGCTTGCTTGCTTGCTCCAAATCCACAGGGTCTTCTCAAAACAGCAAAAGACCTATATACGTGGTATGCAAAAACCTTTATATCTTAAGCTCTCTAATATAACTGAAGCACAGTTACAGTCTCAGTCGGTAGAAAAGATTATCTTTAATTTGGGCTTGCTGAGTTCTAAAACATTCATACCCTTTTTTTCAATCACATTCGATGTTCTGTCTGCACTGTACTTTGTTACTGTGTGCCTGTGCTGTCCTTTAGAAGGAGAATAACCAATCAGTTTACATCTAGCTTGCACACTGTTCAGATTATCTCATCATTATTATTTTTATTCTCTTGGCTGATCATATATTTGCTTTGGATTAGGACATCAAAAACACTTTCACCCTCTCTTCCTCCTCTTCTCTCCCTCTCCTTCTCCTCAGACACATTTGTACTGTTTTCTAAGGGTGACTTTGATTTGTTTTCCCACATAAAAATAGTCAGTTAAGCAAGCTGTGATAACACATATAGAACTCACCATATACACTTACAGGGATTACTTCTCTGATTGCTCCATTGAAATTTGCATAATCTTCTCAGTGGCTGTGGCCACTTATGTGTATTTAAAGTAACTGCACAAACCTGCAGAGAGTATAATTAGGTGAAAACCAGCAGGAATCTAGATTTCCCCATGTGGTCTAGAAATTCTTTGTTTGTAAAAATCATCAGTTGATTTCTGATACTCTTCCCACCAAGGCCGACAGGCACAGTATCTTTGAAAACAATATTAAAATGCCTTCAAGTTCCAAATCTTGCTTTGAAGTACAGCAGTGGGAGGATGGTTGAGTAAATGAAAGATCACAGATACAACCCTTGTGGACAAAGTGAGCAAAGACTTTTTTTTTTTTAAACCACAATTCTTCAAGAATGACTGCTCTTCTAAGAGGTAAGAAAGAAAATGGACTAAACTCCACGATGTTCCATCTACCATCTGTTTAATTTAAGTTGTTAAAAGACTTCTGATTTGCTTCTTATTTGCAGTTAATAGCATCACTTCTGTAACAAACTTTCTCAGTTTTCAGTCTTTTTCCCCACCTCTATTCCAATAGTTAGAACCTGGTATTTTTCCTTTACACTGAGATAAGGTAATGTTGCAATTCAAGCAATGTTATGCTACTTCTTTGTAGATTAATGCAGTCTGTCTCCTACACCGTAACAACGTTGAATTAAATAAGTGAAATACAATAAGCCTCATGTTTTGTTAATTCAGCCCACATAATCATTCTTTCCTTAAGCAGAACTTTTCTATTCCCCTCTGTTGCATCAGTTTTGTCAGAGGCAGATGTTTAATTTACCTTCAGTGTGTTCACAGAATCACAGAAACACCAAGGTTGAAAAAGACCTACAAGATCATCCAGTCCAACCATCTATCCAGTCCAACTATCACCAATAATTCTCACTAAACCATGTCCCTCAACACAACGTCCAAATGCTCCTTGAATGTTGTTACCATCTCTTTCTTCTCTCCATAACTCTTCTCTCCACGTGTCCAGTGTTTGTACACAAAGAGGAAACATAAGAGAAAGAAACTCTTAAAAGATATGTGTTATTGTTCTTACATCAGAATTCACTTGCTGCAGAAGGGAATATGTGACAACCTGCAGTCGTTCCTGTTCTTAGGTCAATATGTTGGCAAAAGTATACAGTCTTCAAAAGTGAGGCTACAACCAGGGTCTGAGAAACTATGGTATGAGCTCTTCTCCTTACCTCTTCTGAAGTAGCAAGCACTACTAGATTGCCAGAGCTGATACGAAAGGAGGAGACAACCTTAGTACCCACAGCAAAATTTACAAAAGCTCTGAAGAACTGTGGTCAGCAGAAGTTTATTTCATCTAGCTGTCTTCTGAGAACTTTTTTGCTTACTTCAAGGTAGTTCATGCACTGTATTTTTTATAAGGTCAGCAGAATCACATCTTCAAAGAAAGCGTCATTCCCACTTAGTTAGAAAACACAGAGTTGTTTATTGCTTGATTTTACTGCCCAGAATAGGCCTTGGAGTGTTCAAAGCTGGGGCCTGTGATGAAGGGGATAATATTAATTACTTCTTTACCTCAAAGAGTGTGAGTAGCCTCAATTAACTTGCACTTAAAAGTGCTTTGAAACTCTCACATACAAGTAACAGCGTTCCTCATTAGCAATTCCACATCAGGTATTTCAGTTCAATGGTATTTTTTTTTCTTCTGCATGTCTTCTATAAAAACAACAGCTAATGACAGGAATACCACCCATTTTACATAGTAAAAAAATTTGCTAAATTTCCTGTATATAATAGATGGTAAATAAAACATGAAAACAAATAAGCAAAATATTGAAGAAAGGGCAAAAATTTAGGAATGTATTATGGAACCAGTCTTCTAGAAAACCCAAAAGTCATGATTAAGATTTAAAAAAAAAAAAAAAAAAAAAAAAAAAAAAAAAAGAGTAGGTGACAAATACTTTGCAAACACTGATATGTTTTGTATAATTACGAAACTAAGCAGAACATCCAACTAACAAAGATTTTCTCATAACATTGCATAATTACATAGAATCATACAATCCCCAGATATTTCTGGTGAAATTTTAAAACATTGGAAGGGTATTTTAGCATTACCAATCAGATAAACCAACTGTAGTTTTACAAAATAGTCAATTGACAAACAAGTTATAAAGGTAATATTTTTAATAATGATGATGTTAAAAAGTTTGTTCTAAGTAATACTGTAACTTTCGTCCACTGGCAGAAAAATTATCTGTTTCAAAATCTGATTCAAATAATCTGGTTCAAAATCAGCAAAGAAAGAATGTGCACTGTTTGTGTCCTTCAATTCAAATGTAATACCAACAATTCTGAGTTTGCTTTTTTTGTTTTTTAACTTTAGTTAAATGGCCATCAATGCTTAAATACTGTTTATACCACTAAAAAATTGGAGAAGATCCTGATAAAGGTAACACATAATTCCAAACTTGCTTTGAAGACATATATGACAGATTTTGATGTCTTTTTTTTTTTGAATACCTCTCTGGAAATAGAGGATCATGTGTCTGCTTATCACCCATCACGTGCAAATACAGATACAAGCAGAGAAATACATATTAAATCTTTTTAAAAAGAGGTGGAAAATCACATATATTTTGCCTTGGAATCCTGGTTCACAGGAAACAGTAGCCTACAGAGAACATCAAAGCAGTAAACAGATCAGAGCACTCCCACGGAACGTTTAGCTTAGCTGCACTTTCAATCGCCTTTCTAAGGACCAAGTTGAGAGAAAGAATTAACTGCAGAGATCAAAAAGACAAGGTATATCTTTGAAATCCCTTCACAGTCCAGTATTTTATTTATGACCAAAGCCCCTAAGTTGAATGTGAAAGTTGGTTTCCATGGATATTTAAATAACACTTTTATCAGGCATATCAGAATGACACACTTTGATATTTTGAAGTCTTGCAAGATCACCTCTCAGCCATCTCTGAATTCATTTGCGTCTAGCAATCACCATTTCTTAAAAGGAACAAGCAGTGGTTGTGGCTTGTCAGTGTAACCTCATTGCAAAAGAGCTATAAATGCAGAGTACTGAAGCAGAGAAGATTAACCACACCAACAACCTGTGACAGAAAAACCAAACCACTTGCTATTTGTTCTTTTGTTCCAGGGGAGGTTCAGGTTGAATATTAGGAAAAATTTCTTCTCCAAAGGAGTGGTCAGGCACTGGAATGGGCTGCCCAGGGAGGTGGTGGAGTCACTGTCCCTGGAGTTGTTCAAGAAACATTCAGGTGTTCTATTGATGGACACGGTTTAGTGGGAAATACTAGTGGTAGGTGGACTGGATGATCTTGGAGGTCTTTTTCAGCCTTGGTGATTCTATGATTTTACAATGTTTTCCCTTGCCTCCTGTTTCCATTCACTGCTCGGTGTGTCTGTGCTGTAGGACAGGCCATGTGTAATTCTGTGCTGTGAGCAGAAATCTCTGTAAACTGCAGCACTGAGTTCAGCCATGTTCATCTGCCTTCCCTTCTGTAATGGTCCCACAGAAAGAAATAGAAATGCTCACTTAGCAAGCCAGACGTGTTTGAGTCTTGCATTGGTATGTGACATATTTTAAGAAAGGACCATTTAAGGCTGGAAAAGCATGATATCTTGGTCCTCCAGTGCAAATTTTCTGTCACCACCTACTAAAAATAAAATTAGATTAAATTAAAAAAAAAATAAAAATCAGCAATAGTAAAATTTGAAATAAAATTATTGGAAAGAAATTAGCCGCATGCTTTTCAAAGCAAATGCTTTGATTTTGAAACAGCTATTATACACATTTGTGATTTCTGTGGCTTGCAGTTAAATTTTAAAAATAGCACTTAAATATGCACGTTAATAACATCCAGAAGGCATATCTTTCAAGGCTGTCCGGGCTACTGAAGGGTTTAATTTAACCACAGTATTCATTTATGTCTAGCAGTTAGAATTTGCTTTTAAGCTCAAAGGAGCCCAGAGTTGTAACTATGATCTAATTGGTAAGCAATGAAGAATGTTTTTCATGTTTTATGGACAACATGAATCCTGATCATTTTACAGCAGTAAATTATAGAGTGCTCTGTTCACCGTCTCTCCCTCTGGAAATACGGGCCTATATCTCATTAAACTATAAAAATAACTTCCTGTGTTTGGTGGCTCCTTGAAAGCTATCCTGCCAAGGTATGTTATTTTTATATTACTAATGCATGTTAGCTCGTCAGTCCAGAGAAAGTTAGGTTCTTTATGGCCTCAAACTAAATTAATTTAAAGCTGTATCCACATGTCAGGGGGGACTCATGAGTAACCTAAACTGCTATAGAAAACGATAATTTATTATTGATTTTGAGCTCCTTTTTAAAAGCAGCTACAAGTCATTGGTTACTCTGTTCCTTCTGTGCTACAAATGATCTACATCTACACAACGCTGGCAACTTAACAAAGGAGCTCCTGTGGGTAAGGCAAAGGACATAAAAGTCAGGTGTGCTTTACTTCTTGGCTTAAGACAAATGATTCATCACTTTATTATGGGAAAAAAAAAATCAGACATATGATGTAATTAATTTTTGTTTGGTTGGTTGGTTGGTTTTGGTTTTTTGATTTATTGCTTTTACAGGTTGTATGGTCAGACAAAATATCTCCTTTAAATTAATTACAGCCTTTAAAATAAAACCTACCTTTTTACTTGTTTTTGAAGCTATATAATTTTCATATGGTTGAGAAGTTTAGCTGTAGCCAGTAAAGTCAGCATACTACCACTGACAAATTGCAGGTCTTTAATCCTACTGTAATGTTTTGTTTTTGTGTTTTGTTTGTTTTATCTAAAAAAAAAAAAAAAAAAAGCAACAAACATGCACCTGTTTGAAGTTCAGATGTTACAGAAGAGCTGCTGCTGCTGAAGGCCAGGCTGGCAACACCTCTATGAAAGGGAGTTCACTGTAAAAAAAATACAAAAAAGTGCCCCCAGAACCAGTATAGGAACTACTCCAGGATGAGGAACACTCTTCAAGGACCAGATGAATAAGAGCAATAGTTTTTTTTCTTTTCTCATGAGAGCAAAGCAATGAACTACAAATATCTCCTTTTTTAGCAAAATAGTTGTAAGGAAGTCAAATGATATCCACCTTAAGTGCACACAGTGAGAGATTTTGGGCATGGAAGAAGAAATAAAAATTATAACAACCATTTTAAATCCTAGATTCAAACAGAGATCTTTTTGCAGTTAACTTCTTCTATGGAAGACTTCTCTTTGATGATTCTTTGCTGCTAGTGCCATAGTTCCATAACCAAATGGCCTCAAGTCCAAACCCCTCTCCCCAGAATAGGCCACAGTCCTTGTCTAAACATTTTCTAAATCTAAAGATTTTCTCTTCAGGGAGCCAGAAAGCAGCCCTCCAGGTAGAGAGGCCTGGTACATTATCACAGACACACTGTGAGCTCCCTGAGCTCTGCTCCTTGCAGCTGTCAGCCTCCAGCTGAGTGCCAGGATGCTGGCTGCTGTGGTGTGTCCAGTGCCACTGCAATCCCCAGCTAAGGGCCACAACAGCTAGCAAAGCCTGCTTGCCTTTCATTTCTAGCTCATACACACCAACAGCAAAAAGAGGGGAAGGTCATCCAAATATGCTGGGTATAGAGTTAGATTGAAAGTTGGATTTAAACTTAGAATTCTCTTCAATTTGTTCTGCTGTATGAATGAGCTAGGCAACTCTGCAGTCATGAGTCATGTTGTCTGCAAGTTGTTTCTGAAACAACGTGGTTGAGAGGACATCACCAAATACAACTGACTTCTGAAGGCAAAGAGGTTCAAAAGTGGTAGCAGCATGTGAGGAAAAAATTGATGAGATCCAAAGGAACAGTGTATAGATTGGGCCTTGAAGACTCAGTGTGCCTTGCACTGTGAGCCAAGTGTTGGAGCCCTCACTGGCTGTGGCGAAGAGAAGAGCTCCACATAATTCTCACACTGTGGGGTTTCACACACAGGTTCTGGGACAAGGTTTACATTACCTTCAATTCAAAGGAATGGAAAGGAGATGGGAGGAGTGACTCAGAATAAGGAAAAATTTTCCACCTAGATTCCATCTACCTTCAATGCATCCTGAAAAGCAGAAATTGAAACATTCATTGCAAAACGACAGGAATGAGAAAATTGTTACAGAAATATTTATACACATAAGAGCAGTAGAAGCATGGAAACAGAACCAGAGAGGATGCTATCCATCAAAGATCCTGATTTATGAAGGATTATATCCAATCAATTATTACCATCAAACCTATGTTAGTAAAGAGCAGCAGTAAATTCTAACAGCCACATCACAAATATTAGAAAAGGGCTGGGATCACTGTAAGAAATGGATCTTCTTGCAAAAACAGAGAAGTGCTGGGGATGAAGATACAATCATAGAGAATCACTACTGTGGAAATGGTCATGGACCCAACTTCTACCCAGGCAGTATGCTGGAAACTAACACTACCCATCCTGCTGGGGGAAACAAAAAATGAAAACCAACACCAGCTCTACTTATCTCTCCAGCTTTCACTGCCATGAAGCACTTGGGAATCTCAGTTCCTCATTTATTTTTATCTATGAAATGAAGACAACTGAGGCTATCAAGAAAGAAAATAAAAACAAATAAAAAAACATACTGGCAAAGAAGGAGGATGTGGAAACATGCTGGAAAGCTGATTGCAAATGCAATCTTTTGATCTCATGATGCCAGCAAGAAATTAGTTCAAAGTACAAGAATTTTCAGGATAGGAGAATGTCATTGGGAGAATGGGACAAGGATAATGCAAGGGTTCCAAGAGGCCGCTACATCATCTGTTAGCATAGATCCAAATTAAAAGTGATGAATTCCTCAGGATAGAGCTCAGACCAGCTCACAGAAATATACAGCAGATGTACAAAAGCACATATCTTAAAGCCAAGTTTCAGCCTACTAACTAACATTGATGTCTTCTGCATTACTTAGATCTGCAAAACAAAACAAAACAAAATTATAAAATTAGCTCCTTTTTCTATTATCATCAATACAAAAATATTAATCCTGCGCTACAGACTTCAGAAGTGCAATAGGAAGAAGCCTTATTAGAATTGTAGATGTTTTCCTTAAACAGAATTTGAGGTAAAAGTGCAAAATGTATCATTCAGTTAAGAAAGCTGTAATGAAAACCACAGTGCAGAAGTTTGGATCCTAAACGTACAGATATTTATAGGAGGGCATTCCACCACATACAAAAACTATAGAGAACTGTAATTACACAAAGGATCTAAATACCAACATAAGATTGGAGAAACTACACACAAATTCAGGGAAACTTAATTAATATTTGCACAGCATTACAGAGTGATGGTCAAGAATGAACCAAAATAATTATGGCTTGGAAAATTGTAATTTACTCAGTTTTGAAAAAGGAGATATGAAAATATACAGATGCTTCTGCTCAAATACTTTCAGTGATGTAGTTATTGAAGTATTTTGTATTTAAGTCCATGTATTTGTAATCTATCTAAAAATTCACTGTGAATGAGTCTGAAAAAACTTCTGTTCCAACTGAGCTAAATATCTGTTGAATTTTAATGAAACAGACAGTCTGTTTTAATGTGTTTTTGTACAAACTGATTACATTGAAACATGCAGTAGATGAATTATATGGTAAGCTACTGTTTAGAATTCCTTATTACATTATTAGCCCAAGATTCCTACATAAACATTGCAATTTCTAAATATTTTAAATAACATAATTCAGATTAGAAATAGGTTGCCTATTTTATACTTGATCTGTTTATATTATTTAAAAATGCAAATGTAAGTAATTTTTAGATTTTTCCCCCCCAATATTCCTTTCTCATTTTCATGAATTTTCATTTCCTTTTTCATTTTCCTTTTATTCAGTTTAGACAGATCTTGTTCTTTGAAAAAGAAACAGGGCTGAGACCTCTGAAAGTCATCTCAGTCAAAAATAAACTGTTATTTTTACATTCATTATCATTATTAGAGATCATTCTTTCACAGCTCTGAAATTCTCCCCAGTGGGCAGTAGTCCACCTTACTAAACTACCTACCCATAATTCAACCCAATTTCATGCCATTGTCTGTCTGGGCTCATGAAAGTCCAGCTTTGAACTACAATGGAGACTATTTTCCAGTGCCTCCAGGGAAGGAGCTAATTCTGTTGGCTGCCTCCTTTCCATTCATCTTCTCATGAATAAAGCAGGGCTTGACTTTTCCGCTGCCCATTTTCAGAAACGCAAACTTCATTGCAGTGAAAAGCACTAAATTAGTATAAAACCTGAAATGCCTGAATAAAAAGCTACTCATTCTCTCGCAAATACAGAAACTGTTTTCAAGGTCCTGTGAAAAAAATGTCCATGGCCAGGGTCAAACTGAACTAATGTGTCACGCAACTCATCTTTTCTTATGCATAATCTGAAAAGTAATTGGTAAAACTGAAAATCAGAGCAGGGGACTGTCTTTGTTTAGTCTTTAATACTTGATATTTCATTCTGCACAAAACAGGAAATTCTTCCCATTCAGCTTACTCCTGATCAAGCAGCAGCAGGGGATCCTGCCATGGAAAGAGCATCTGTCTAAATGCATTGATTCAGATTCCTAAATTCTTATTCCATTCTCACTAGTTTGATATAAAAAGTTTTGACCTATAGTGAGTGGTAGGAAGAAAACAAGTCATTAATTTAAAGGAACTAATTTGCTGTATTAATGAGTTGTGCTTTTCATTAAAAAAAAAAAAAATAAAAATCAACAAATACAAAATGAACTTTCTCAAACACAGAAGAATCTACAGACAAGTTGAGTGAATGTGATATTTTGCTTACATGAAGAAATCATTTACAACATTCTTTTGACCCTTATTCAGTCATGGGTCGTAAGAGACCTAATTTTAAATGTTATATGCTGCCTTGTTTCCATTTACATTAATGGAGCAGACAAAGATTCTTGTTTAGAAGGATGGTAAATTTAAATACTGCAAAGAGAAATGCTTTGCTATTGTGTAAACAATGAAAAATTGCAGCAACTATTTATCAAGTGAATGAAACTAGCTTCTATGTGATGGTATAAAAAAGAGACAATTTCATACATAAACAGGAAAAAAAAGGTTTTTTTTATGGAACTTACAGAGTTCATTCCAACATTTTTCTCCAAAGACTGTGAGTTAGTGCTCCAAAAGTTCTGTTTTCCAACAAAAACAGACACATTACTCTTTTTGCAGATGATGGAAGCTCAGAAGAGCAAGGTTTTGCTACTTCATCCACCTTGTATTTACTAGAAATAAAAAAAGTGTCATTGGTAAGGAACACAAATAACATTGCGTCCACGCAAGTTTAGCCAAGCAGAATCACTATAGAGGTATGATCAGTGTTGTAAGCTCTTTCAGTTGTGCATTGCCCAAATCAGTACGCTTGGGATCACAATTCATGCCCTTTTCTACTAGCAGGGAAGAAATAAGGAACATCTTCCTGTACATGCATAGATCTGTCAGGAATGCATATGCACTTTCCCATGCATCACATCAATAAGTTGCACATTCCATTACACTCTGCTCATTTCCTCTACGTCAAAATGGCTACAATAATTTTTGAAAACACCTAACAATGTACCCTGTACTGTGAAATGAAGAGTTGACTTCAGTGTTCACCATTGTCTCTAATGCAACCATCCCCAAAACTGTACCTAAAGGGATAGGCAGTACATGAGGTTTGATCTCTGATAAAGGGCTTGCTGGATGTTATCCTTCAGAACAGGTTGCAAAATCAAGCATCCTTCATTGAAATTCTTCCCCTGCAGTTCCTTTGCATTTATAACTGTGAGAAATCTGCTCCACCACCTGAGCTGTTCTCAGCTGCCATGGTGCCCCACGAAGATAGATGGGATCACTTACAGAGGTACAATAGGGAGCACTCTTCTGCTCTGCTTTCATCTTGCTCCCTGATCGCAGATCAAAGCAGGGAGGCAAGCAGAGTAAGGGCATGTCTACACAGAGACATTACATCAATCTAGTTTATTCTCTCACAGTGCGAAATTTAAATGTAAATCATTGAAAGGCTTTTGCACTGGTCTATCATGACAGCTTAAAGTACTTTCCTTATTAATTGTAACACCCAAACAGCTCTGTACTTGTCTGAACTAACTACCCTAGCTTCTCAACCAACATTTCACAGAGTAGCGTTTGCAACTGTGATTTTTTCCTGTGCTGTAGGAAGGCCCACTTGAAACTAAGGAATTTGTATATGGGGTAACAAGACAGTCAAATGAATTCACTCCTTAAAATCTTTTCACAGAATCACAGCATGATAGAATGGCCTGGATTGAAATAGACCTCAAAGATCATCTAGTTTAAAACGACCTGCCATGGGCAGGGTCACCAACCAATAGGTTATGCTGCCCAGAGATACATCCATCCTGGATACAGTATCCAGGTTTCCTGGTATCCATTAACATAATCAGTAGCATTACTCACCTGCTGTCATACAACATGAATGACCTATTACTCAACACCATAATTATTGTGATATAAGCCAAAAAAAAAACCAGTGGGCATATTTTCCAAGTTCACTGGTAACAGAGTTTCAGCATGGGAAGACCAGCTTTCCTCATGAGATAAAATGAACGGAGATGATCTGTTCAAGAAGCTGCAGCTGGTAAATACCACCATGAAGACTTTCCTTGGGTCACAGGAACATTGTGCTGCCCAAAAGTGCAGATCAATACACACTGTCATCATGATACACAAACTAAATCATTTGATGTTGGCAGATCAGCAGTCAGGAGCTGTTGTAGAGCTTTGCAGTTTCACCTAGAGAGAGTTGCTTGGTCTGATGCCATGCCATCCTCTTTTTGGCAGCTAGCATTTAGTTCTGATCCTTAGAGGTCTGTCAGATCACAATGGAAGAACCGTAAATGACAGAAAAGGGTGTTTCAGAGAAGTACCTGATCTTAAAAGATTTAGAAACTGAAATCTGCTTGAATGCAGGAAAATGAATTCCTCAACTATTGAGAACTCAACTGAAACTGTTCCTCATGTCACTCCAAGGTGGCAGAATACTTTAACAGATGGAAATTTCCAAGGCCAGTCAGT